GTTTAGACCCAACCCCTCCCTCCATCCGCCTCAGAACGTAAAAAAAGTTGATACATACGTGCAAATTACACAACAAAAGTCAGAAGTGTGTCACTGCTCCTGCGGGCATGTAGGTTGTATAAGGGCATGTTCGATTGTACGAATCCGTGAGCCCCGGACCCGGATTCGCCAAATTTGTACATGTTCGATTGTACGAATCCGGATCCCGAGAGCACGGATTCGGATCCAGCCAACCCACCTCGCAGAGACGGATTCGACGAATTCGACGGATTCATTTCCATGGTACGACTCATATCTACTCAAAACTCCCAATATGCGTACACTAGGTCAAGAGTTCACCACAACGCATACAGATACTACGGGATGAGCTGTAGCAACGCGGTTGCTAAGGCCTTGAAACGGATTATCGGTTGTGCACATTCGATTGTATCCGTCCGATCAAAGTGATCTGGTCGGCGGGGATCGGGATCCAGTTTCTACAATCGAATGCAGCCTAAATGTTTTCTGAAACGACAGTGGTCAACCCCCTTCCCCCCCCCCCCTCCTTTCGTTTCCTGAAAAAATGTTCAATATTTATGGACGACCAATAAATTGCCTAAAGTTTGCGGTTTCCTGAGGAGATCCTTGTAGGACGAAGGCATGTGTCACTCCTTCCTCACTTGTTGATTTCCACCTGGCATGGTCATCTCAACGTTCGTGATGGATACTCACCAATCACTGATCATAGTGGCGTCCTTGTCAGTCACATAAACTATTTCCTTCTTGCTCATCGACGATTCTTCAATTCTCTGGGTGTGTTATGCCTGGTTCACACTAGGCCAATTTTCCGGCCGACACGGACTCGTACAAAAATCCTCATGATAGGGGAGTGGGGGCTGGGGGATTGCCTGGTGTGAACGGTGTTGTCGTACAGGTTTCCGACAGATCTGCGGCGATTTTCTTGTCGCACTAGTTTTCGGCCAAGTATCGACTGGTCGATATTTTGGCGAAAAGCCAGCCGATTTTTAGTGCGGGCACGTGATGGAGCGGGCATCGGACCAATCACTTTGGGCTTTTCGCCATGACAGCGGAGAGCGTCGGTGCAGACTGTGAACTGGCTGCACTGGAACGCTTCTAGACGCCAGCCTTTTCACGCCTTTGGCCTTGCAGCTCGTTTAAAAACTATCTCATTTCCGCTGTCTAGCGTCCATTACGGTCTAGTGCGGCCGTGTGCCGCGTGTACGTGTGTAACAGACAAGCCTGCAACTCAACTATAGTACAAGCGGAATTGCCCACCGTTGTGTGTGTGTGAACAGCTAGTCCGACTCATCCAACACAGTCCGTTGATTTCTTGTTGGAGTCGGTGTGGGAACATGGGCCGGAAAATCGGCCTAGTGCTAGTGTGAACCAGGCATTAGGATCGTGGAGTTGAGGTTAGTAGAGAGGTTGCGCACAACAGAGATTCGTAAGATTTCGACCGTCCGGGTTCGAGTAACGAAAGTTGCAGCGAAGATCCGTCCAAGCGCGACCGAAACAGAGCAGATCTACGAAAATATTTTTCATAACGTGGAGCACTAATATTCAGATATTTTACAACTCCTTGTCCTGACTCTCCGTACCGGCACGCGTGCGCAGTGTCGACCTACTGCGAAAAAATTCACACGTGCACAGCCTCACGATTTACGAATATTCGTTAGCTTCTTTTCGTTAAAAATATTCGCAACGGCGCTAAGAATTTTCGTTGTGCGCAACCTCTCTACTAACTGACAGGTTGTATTGAGTCCTTGTCTTTTTGTGCTCATCTTCCATCTAATGCCTACAGTATGTTATTTTTGTTTTTTGTTGTCCAAATCTGTCTTTGTTGGTACCAGGCAGTCCTGTATCGGGATGAGATTGCGGGTTCGATTCCCAGCGTCATTGAAGATTACATGTATTTCCACCTTCCAGGGCCAGGAGGCCCATCTGAGATTGGGGTACCTGGATTTGGTTGGGGAGCCAAAGGTAACGAGGGAGAGGAGATGAGTGCCGCCCTTAAAGGGGAAGTTAAGGCAAAAATTAAAATTTCACTAGTTGTAGTCTCCGGGGTGCTGAGTCGAATGGTCGTGGTCCGAGGAAGCTGAGACGATTCCTTCCTACTTGAATCCCAATCGAACTCGCGCACTTCCACCGAAACTGGGTGACTGCGCCCTACTAGATGGGGATTTGTATTCAAAATGTCAGTAAAAGCGCCATTTCGTTCTTATAAAAGCACGGATGACCGCGATTGGCCCATATGTTGTAGTCTTTTGGACGCTGAGTCGACTGGTTTTGGTCCGAAAACGCTGCGATGCAGCGTTCCTCCTTTATTCCCAATCGAACATGGTTGAACAAGCGGTCACGTGCTCCTGCGTACGCCTGTCACCTGGTCACCGTGCCTGCAGGGTACAACTTACTAGCCTGTTTGACCTTTTTTGGGTGCAGTCCTGTCACTCGAGTTGAACCTTGGTGTGAAAGTTGTCGCCTGCTGGCGTGGTGACCAGGTGATTTGGGCACCCAGGAGCACGTGACCGCTTGTTCAACCATGTTCGATTGGGAATAAAGGAGGAACGCTGCATCACAGCCTTTTCGGACCAAAACCAGTCGACTCAGCGTCCAAAAGACTACAATATATGGGCCAATCGCGGTGATCCGTGCTTTTATAAGAACGAAATGGCGCTTTTAGTGACATTTTGCATACAAATCGCCATCTAGTAGGGCGCAGTCACCCAGTTTCGGTGGAAGTGGGCGAGTTCGATTGGGATTCAAGTAGGAAGGGAGCGTCTCAGCTTTCTCGGACCAAGACCATTCGACTCAGCACCCCGAAGACTACAACTGGTGAAATTTTAATTTTTGCCTTAAAGGGGAAGTATACCCTAAAATCAAATTTTCACCAGTTGTAGTCTTCGGGGTGCTGAGTCGAATGGTCTTGGTCCGAGGAAGCTGAGACGCTCCCTTCCTACTTGAATCCCAATCGAACTCGCGCACTTCCACCGAAACTGGGTGACTGCGCCCTACTAGATGGGGATTTGTATGCAAAATGTCAGTAAAAGCGCCATTTCGTTCTTATAAAAGCACGGATGACCGCGATTGGCCCATATGTTGTAGTCTTTTGGACGCTGAGTCGACTGGTTTTGGTCCGAAAAGGCTGCGATGCAGCGTTCCTCCTTTATTCCCAATCGAACATGGTTGAACAAGCGGTCACGTGCTCCTGCGTACACCAGTCACCTGGTCACCGTGCCTGCAGGGTACAACTTACTAGTCTGTTTGACCTTTTTTGGGTGCAGTCCTGTCACTCGAGTTGAACTCGAGTTGAACCTTGGTGTGAAAGTTGTCGCCTGCTGGCGCGGTGACCAGGTGATTTGGGCACCCAGGAGCACGTGACCGCTTGTTCAACCATGTTCGATTGGGAATAAAGGAGGAACGCTGCATCGCAGCCCTTTCGGACCAAAACCAGTCGACTCAGCGTCCAAAATACTACAACATATGGGCTAATCGCGGTCATCCGTGCTTTTATAAGAACGAAATGGCGCTTTTAGTGACATTTTGCATACAAATCCCCATCTAGTAGGGCGCAGTCACCCAGTTTCGGTGGAAGTGCGCGAGTTCGATTGGGATTCAAGTAGGAAGGGAGCGTCGCAGCTTCCTCGGACCAAGACCATTCGACTCAGCACCCAGAAGACTACAACTGGTGAAAATTTGATTTTAGGGTATACTTCCCCTTTAACTTCCCCTTTAACTTCCCCTTTAATATGTCAAGCTCTGTGTAACAGGATGTATCTAAATACTTCTTGCCGCTACGGTCAGAAATTGACGATGGGCGGATCTACCTTTGCCTAAGTCATTTACCAGTTACGAGCCTACAAGTACGCATGCAATCAGATCGTCTTTAGCCAACGCAATCCATGCGATCAGTGTGCCTTGCCTGTGTTACGTCAAGTCCAGGTCCAGCCCAGTCGTCCCAGCGAATAGCTCCGACCCGTGGTGCTGCTGCAGCTGCTGCCGCCGCTCCTGCTGCTCGTTGTGCCGTCCCCTGCTCAACGACGTTCTCACCTGCCATTACTTCATGCTGATCTGAGGTTCCGTGCTCTTGCCGAGAGGCCTGGTCGTTTCTGTCGGAGCGTTCCTGCAACACAGCCGCCTCTGACCTTGCCGCTATTCCAACGTAAAGCAGTATGAGAAGAATAGACATCAATGGGGGTGCCATTTTTGGACAAAGGAATGGCTTCCGACGAGATTCCAGTTGTGCTCACGAGCAGCAAGTTCCAGCAAGAAAAGAACTTTTTGTATTTTTGTATTTATATCATTATCTCATGGCACATCATGATGACGGCCAATAAAACTGAGACAAGGGTGAAAGCCAACCACAGCTACTACTACTAGATGAATTGTATTCTTGTACGTGTTCTTGTACTCCGGTCGCTGGGAATGTTGCTTTGTGCGGCAAGTCCGTCTCTGACAACTGCCAGAAAAATATCATGTCCCTGACATGTGCGCGGACTTGTGCCTGGTTCACACTGTCACTAGAACATGTAGGCCGACATGGCCATGGGCCACATGGACTCGTAGACGAAAATTTCTGCAGATCGTGTGCAGTGGACCAGGGAGTCGTACAAGTAACTAATGCCTGGTTCACACCACGTGACCAGGGAATAATACGACTCCCTGGTTCACACTATACTACAATTTATTTTCCTTTCCATTCCCCAACCATTAACCAGTGAATACTACAATGTTTATTCTCTTTCTGCATACTTTTGTATGTGCCCGTGCGCAACGCGCGCGCGCGCGTGTGTGTGTGTGTGTATGTGTGTGTGTGTGTGTGTGTGTGTATGCCTCAATCGCCACTCGAATTTCTGTTCCCCGTTTTTCGATAAGTCTCGTTTTCGGCGAATACTTCGGCCGGCCGATTTGGGGATTTTCCTGGTAACGATCTTTCTCATTGGGTAATGTTTGTTTGAGAGGAGGTCAAAGAACACGAGTCACACGACCTTAATGCACTAGTACTAGGCCTTGGCGGATAATGCCGGCATAAAAATTGGCAGAATTCGGTACTTTTTCTGGTAAGTTTCATGCATGTTTGGTATTTGGATAAAGAAAGGGAGCAGAATTCGAGGAATTGCCCGCCATAAGGTTTGTATGGTTCTGCCAACCCTGCTTTTCGAGCAGAATCCGCCAAGGGCTACATCACACCACGGAACAAAGCGCTGCGTCTACGTCCACGTTAGGAGTTTTTGGTCGGTTGTCATGATGATCCGTATACGGGGTGAAAACGGGAGCAGAGGAAACGGGAGACGTAGACGTGGTGGTAGATCTAGAGAGAGAGGGGGGATACGACTTTTTGTATGAACGTGCGTATCTCCCCCAGCCTTTTTCCGAGCGACCCTGTACTTCGATGTAAGTGCGTTCAAATTTCTCCAAAAACTTTGCCTGTCTGATGACACGACCACCCGTTTTGGTTTTTCACCATAGACGTAGGCGTAAATGGGAGTCGGAGAACGTAGTGTGATGACGGCCTTACTAGTACCTGGAGATCGGGTTTAACGAAACTTTCCCTCCACCGAACCGCCGATTTTGGAGAATACCGAAAATGTTACACCACTGACAATTTCTGCTTTTTACACAGTAGTTGCTCACACAACACGATTCTGCGATGGTTGCATTCTGCGATGGTTGCATCGGATTGGTGTGTACTTTCGTATGTAGATTCACGAGTACGGCTGAAACGATCGTGGGTTTTCCGATTTACTCCTTTTCCCAAGGCTAGGCCTTCATAATAGAGAGGTTCCGGGGTACGATTTTCCGTGCCAAAATCCGTATGGGCGCTACGGATTTTTTCCAGGCGTGCTCCATACGATTTTTCGGCACGAGAATCCGTGTGGACTGGCTTTCATACGCACCATGCTTCGTATGGAGATTTTGCGTCATCGGGTGCAGAAAGATTTTTCGCGTACAAATTTGGTACGAGAAACTTCGATTTTTCGCGGGAAGTTTTGATTTCGGTACAAATTTTCAAAATAAAAAGGCATAGCGCGGGAATGTGAAGTGTTTGCGATCGTAACCTAGGCAATGACGGCAAACACATAAGTTCCGTACCCCGGAACTTTTCACTGCTCGAAAACGACGTATAAAAAATCCGTGGAGCCTCCACGGATTTTGGCACGAAAAATCGTACTCCGGAACCTCCCTATTATCAAAATCTGCATTCGTGACCAGGTAGCTCCTAAACATGGCAGTTATAGAGTCAATTTAACCTGAGAATATGCACCATGCCCCTGCATGGCAACTGCATAGTCACAGTGGTAACTGATTCAAACTTCACAAAAAACGAGGGTTCTCAGTACCTTTTGGACTCAAAATCCTTAACGAGTAATCTATAACGTAACGATTACTTGATCGACAAGGAATTATCGATCGCTTGCCGAGTAATTGGTATAATCGTCTCCGCCCTATTCACGAGTGACCAGCAACTCCTGAATTTTAGTTGAGGGTAGATTTCAGGTGTCATCACAACACTCTGGCATGTAACAAGCGCACAGAACTTGGAAGGTACCATTGAGTAAATGCACTACGGAGAGGCCCAACGGGCTTCGCAACAAAACCAACACCTCCTGGAGGCGGGCAGGACAGAGTGTGCGGCGTGCAACCTGCTAATGTAAAGCAAGCCGAGGATAGGGCGTGAATATAATAGCAACAGCAGATATTCTGTGCGGGCGGAAAGTAAAAATAGTTGAGTGCAGCAGAAGCAATTGTTCAGTGATAAAATGTAATAGGAAGTATATAACATATTCCGTTCGGACCTAAATTTGCAAAGTGACAAGCTAAGACAACCGATGAACTGCACGTGACAGACATTTGTGCGGTGGCACGATTGCCTGTGTCCACACGTCCCATCCTCTCAGTCAAAGGACAAGAGAAAGTTACCAGCCGGGCGAAGCGTGGTCGAACACGGACAGCAAAAACACACACACACACGTACACACACACACACACACACACACACACATGTACACACACATGCACAGATACAGACACACAGACACACACGCACACCCACGCGCACACCCACACACACCCACATACACACGCACACACACATGCGCACATACACATACACACGCACACACACACACACACACACACGCGCACACCCACACACACCCACATACACACGCACACACACATGCGCACATACACATACACACGCACACACACACACACACACACACACACACACACACAAATTGAAAGGCACGAGGCAGAGATCACCCAGCTCCAGTGCAGCATGACACACACATCAAGGAGAACATACGGTCATCATCTGTGTGATGTGAAGGAGCGACCGTCAGTGTCCATATTTCCAAGAGAGTAGGTTGAGGGGAGCACTTGGCAGGTGAACTTGTCCAGCAACTGACAAGTCTCCCAAGAACTAGGCTGACCCAGTCCCAGCAGGCTAATAAAATAAGATTGCTTGTAATGAAGTGGGGATAAGCACGCTATCTAGTTAGGCGGTAGTGGTGGTGGTGGTGATGATGCGCTGGCTGCTGCTGCAGCAGCAGCGCCATCGGCCTCATGGCGTGGTGCTCTGCTCAATCTCGTCGGCTGCAAGATCGCCAGGCTTGAAGTGGTAGTCTCGATGCTTGGCGAGAATACGGAGCAACGGCCGTAATTCCAGCCACCACTGGTCCAGCGGTAAGCGGTTCCTGCAGAGATCACGCAAACCGGGTTAAAACCGGGTTAAAGAAACAAACAGAACAAATAGTTATACTCGGGTGGAGAGCCAGGGGTTAATAGCCAAGGATTAACCCTTTGAGACCCCAACGATCGAATTCGATCGTTTGGTATACAGTGACACTAAAATAAGTATATCTCTGGTGTTCCTTCACCGATTTTCATAAACAAAGTATCTACGTTTCGAGAAGACCCTTGGCTATAACGTCGAAGTTATCCGAAGTCTCTAGGAGTTGCGATGCCGCCGTGGTGAGACTCGAAGTCGGAGACAAACTGAAAAATGCACTCAGATCGAAAAATTCAAATTTTCACGCTGCACTTGGCAGGAGATTTCCCCGGAATGGTATGTCATACTCAAGCATGCTGCACACCAATATTTTGCGCTTGAAACGAGCTTTCCGCTGTAGTTTATTTGAAGTCGATGCGATGAAGGAGAATGGAATGGCGGCTGTTTGAACTTTTCTGAAGCTGTTCGCGCACGGCTGCTGTTTTGGGCGGCATTATAGGCCACGCAGAGCAGAGGCTGTGCAGGTAGTTGGCTTGAGCGTGGTACTATTCTCTTCGTCTTGGAAATACCTTTCCAACGGTGGTTAGTTTGTAAAAATCGGTGAATGTTTCATAGAGATACGAGCGAAAGTGCATGTTATTTGAAGGTGCGTAAATTGTCGTACTTTCAGTGGGGTCTCAAAGGGTTAATAGCCAAGGATTTATTTATAAGAAGAAAACGTGTAGCTCTTTAGTCCCCTTTCCTAGATACTAGTACTAAAAAATATTACGAGAGAGAGAGAGAGAGAGAGAGAGAGAGAGAGAGAGAGAGAGAGAGAGAGTGAATGTGCTGGAGGAGGAACTGCTTCATCAATCATGCAATCACAACAATAATTTACTGCTGCAGATGAGTGCCTTCTGTGTGTCCTGTCAGGGGCCATCCAGGATTATCGATAATTTTCACGAAACGAAAAAGTTACTTATGACCCTCCTCCCCCCCCCCCCCCCCCTCACCCCTGAACGAAAAATATATTGACTTGACAGCTAGAATGGATTGATGTTTCAGATATCAATATTTTTCCTAACGAAAACTCACCTCGACCCACCCACAAACGAAACTTTCCGCTTTGCGTAAGACATTGACAGTTATGGACGGCCTCTTAAGCACTTATGACAGGGGTGAGAAAATCATGCCGAATACTCATCACTTACAAGCTATGTGTGTACGGTCGTAGTCGACACTCGTTCACAGTTGAAACCGTGCTCATCATGTACTGTACAGTACTCGCATGGCAGTCCAGCCAGCAACATGCAGGTGGAACATGCATTCCAAGCTACTGCCAGCCCTAGTCGTGATCTCTACACGGAGAGCTGGTTAAACAAGTGGTCTGCCTCCTGTAGCTTCATTATTCTGACGGGATACGTTACCGCTTTCTCGCAAAAGGCCTCAAAGTCACACTACAGCACTAAAGTGAAATTGAAGAGCGTAAGATAGTTGCTACTCAGTATTACCAAGAGTACATAACCCCAAGAGTGTGCAACTCCAGCTATGGGGTCTGCGACGGCAGAACTTCACATCACGTGATGAACCCGTGCACTCTAGTGCATGATAGATACTGGGTTGTACGCAGCCCAGCTTTGGGTACAACTCTCTTGTGGTCACTTTGCACTGTTTGCCAGCATAACCTTTTGAACCATGTCACGTGATGTGAAGTTCTGCCGTCGCAGCACAGCATAGAGGTTGTGCAGGCAGTTGCACACTCTTGGGGTTATGTACTCTTGGTATTACCGAAAACTCCATCGTTAACAAGAAATGTACTGTAAAACATGTAATTTTAGGTGCATTAAAATTTCGGTGCCAGGGACCTGCCAGGATTCAGGTGTAATGTAGAATTAGGTGACCAGCGTTCCCTCCACATACAGTGCATACTCTAGTGCCTTTCAGGTGTAATTTAAGTTTAGGTGCCTGGTTTCTCGAAATCACCGAAATTAAAGTTACACCGAAAATTACATGTTTTACAGTAATCGATAAACAATCTCCAGGGATCGTTTCACTCCTAACAGATAAGAGAGGGACATAAGTCAGTCGGCTATCATGTTGATGACAAGCCGGCACTAGACACTTACTTGAAATCAGTTCGCAGCTTGAGCTCACTGACTGGCGTGAACACAGTCTTACGTGCACGCATGCCCACCGTGCACGCAGTTGCTGACGAGCCTGGAGAAAAATAATAATACAGAACAGAGGCAAGGGATGATGTTAGAAGACGAATAGGGGAAGAGAGAGAGAGGGAGGGAGAGGGAGGGAGAGTGAGAGAGTGAGAGAGAGAGAGTGAGAGAGAAAGAGACAGAGAGAGAGAGAGACAGAGAGAGAGAGAGAGATAGAGAGAGATAGAGAGAGAGCGATATAGATAGATAGATAGATAGATAGATAGAGAGATAGATAGATAGAGAGAGAGAGAGAGAGGGAGTGAGTGCGAGAGAGAGAGAGAGAGAGAGAGAGAGAGAGAGAGAGAGAGAGAGAGAGAGAGAGAGAGAGAGAGAGAGAGAGAGATAGATAGATAGATAGAGAGACAGACAGACAGACAGACAGACAGAGAGAGACAGAGACAGAGAGAGAGACAGAGAGATAGATAGATAGAGAGAGAGAGAGAGAGAGAGAGAGAGAGAGAGAGAGAGAGAGAGAGAGAGAGAGAGAGACAAAGAGAGAGAGAGAGGGGAGGGAGAGAGAGAGACATAGAGAGAGAGAGAGAGGAAGAGATAGGGAGATAGATAGAGAGATAGAGAGACAAAGAGAGAGGAAGAAAGAGGGAGATAACATAGATAGATAGAGAGAGAGAAAGAGAGAGAGAGAGAGAGAGAGAGAGAGAGAGAGAGACAAAGAGAGAGAGAGAGAGGGGAGGGAGAGAGAGAGAGACATAGAGAGAGAGAGAGAGAGAGAGAGAGAGAGAGAGAGAGAGAGAGGGGAGGGAGAGAGAGAGAGACACTGAGAGAGAGAGAGAGAGAGAGAGAGAGAGAGAGAGAGAGAGAGAGAGAGAGAGAGAGAGAGAGAGAGAGAGAGAGAGAGAGAGAGAGAGGGGAGGGAGAGAGAGAGAGAGAGAAAGAGAGAGAGACCTCCTCACACAGCAGAATCTATGCTGGAACTCGCATGTTGACTATGTCATCACAAAAGCGTCCAGGAAGATGTTCCTTCTCCTGCGACTATGCCATTCCTTAACCCTTTAAGAGCCACAGGAAATTTTCAAAAATCTGCATTTTTTCATGTTCCTCGGATCATAGCTTCAGTTCTACTCACTCAATCCTCACAATCTAGGGCTTCCTGGAAAGGTATTCGCGAGAGGAAGAGAATGAGGTCGATCATGATAGCCAGCACACCGTCTATCCAGCGCTAGATCGCAGCGACAGTACGAAAAATGCCCCATATGCGTCCAATTGCGTCCCGCTCCAGATATTTCATTCTACTCGATCGTGGAGTTTCAATTTTTTTGCTGTGTACCCTTGACAATATCAACAGTGAAACCCGTGCAAATTCGAGTAAACCAGCGTGACGAAAAGTCTCAAAAATCTCAATACTAAAGTTGCACTGCGCGCTTTTGAAATTGCCGCGATCGCGGCTCAACTTACGAGTGATTTATCTCGGGAACCGTTGCTCGCAGCGCTTCGCGGATTGTTTCTCCCGACAGGTGAGAGTTTTCTCTTCGCCCTGGATATTTCGATCGATGGATTTGAGCGAGATTAGACTGAGTTACGATCTTTTGAAGTTTTGCATTTGAATGCGTCGTTTACGACGCATTCAAGTATGGGGCGGCTCTTAAAGGGTTAAACACTTCTGCTCTCTCCTCCATCTATCTACCTTACATCCGCCCTATTCTTGAGTATGCTTGCACTGTCCTCTCACCCCTCCCCGCAACCTTCAACGACCGGCTTGAGCGCATCCAACGGCTTGCCACTCGCCTCGGTTTGCATCTCCCCCTCTTTGAACACAGAACCCACTCTGTGCTGCTGCACCGGCTAAAATGGCCATCACTCAGCAGCCGCCGTACCCTCTTCCATATTCTTCTTGCACATAGCCTTCACCATAGAGATGCACCAGCAAACATCTTACCTCGTGCCATCTCTTCCGTATGTACCAGCTCACATTGCTCAGCACATCTATAGCTCCATTGTGCCCAGCCTATGCGATAAACTCCTTATTGCCATCACTACTATTTCAGCAAGCAGCTAAACTTTGATCTCCCTTTATCCGATCCCCGTGCCTGTAATTCTTTTTCTCTTATTGGCCACAGGCCACCATGAGAATAAAAGATTTCAAACAATCGTTCAACTCACATTGCGGCTGCGGTTCTAGCGTGCAGTGGTCCAGAAAGAAGTCCAGCGAGCACTTGGCAAATCTCACACCCAGATGCCGATCGTACGGAGAAGGCAGTCCTCCCTGCTGCATGTGTCCGAGCACATTGGAGCGTGTGGTGAACAGCTCTCCGCCCTCTGCTGAGTACAGGTTTGTGATGAAGTCAGTCGTGTAGTAGGGGGAGCATTTCTCATTTCTGACAACACAGAAAAATACATAATGTCAATCAGGTTTACAGATGTTAGCATATAATACTGTACAGGCAGGAAATTTCGTCCAACTCCAAAGAAAAGGAGTTCGTCCGGTTGTAAATTCCGTCCATGGATCATAAGAGTGTATTGAAAAGCTGGATAAATCAGGTACGTTTTGTACTGCGTACACCTATTAAAGGATAGCGTGCGCGTAATCCGAACACCTGCCACGGTTATGCTGGCGAGTTGCATGCGCGCAGTGAGTTTCTGCCAGGGAGTGGTTTTATTATTACTCTGCTGCTCGCTAAAAACGGGCTGGAAACGTACAACTGGGACACTACACCGCGCGATGTGAGTTCTTGGCGTCGGCGAGCCCCATACAAAGGGTATCAGGGGTTATACACTCTTGGGGGCTTATATACTCTTGGGGGGGGGGGGGGGGTTATATCTTTGTATGTGTGTGTGGGGGGGGGGGGGGTTATACTCTTGAGGGCTTATAATACTCTTGGTATCAGTACACGGACGCACACACGCACATACAAACATACCGAACTTTACCAGTTACAAGTCGAACTTTGACTGTCAGAATTTGAAGGAGACAAGTGGGGGTCGACATACCAGCGGTAACCACCAGCACTGCTCTTGCTACAGCTCCTTGTTAAAGTCGGCCTATTGAAAATCGCCGCACTATTGCCACAACAGGATTGGCAACAGAAGGTGCAGGCAACTGCACAGTCTGGGTGCGTGTGTGTGGTGGTGGTGGGGGGGGGGGGGGGGCTAATTAGGAAAGTACCTGAGGATAATGCCTCTCCAGATGCCTTGCTGAAACTTGCTCACCAAGTGCCGGACGTCATTCTGCAAATGCACATCCCACGGGGGCACCCAGACAGCACAGGCAGACAGAAGAACAAACAGATGAAACGACAAATGAACAAACAGAAAGATGCGAGGGACACATCAACACAGAAAGGAAAAAACAGATAGGTATGAGGGACAGATGGACAGACGGACAGGTATGAGGGACATATGAACAGACGGAGCCCAAGACCGTAAAAACCAGCGACTGGTGATTGAAGTCATGACATGTTTGATCGACCTGAGTGGATCCGGTGCGTGGCCGCACACAAGCACTGGGAAACCAGGCAAGTTCATGGCATATGCTGGGGATGAAAGGGTAACAAGGAAAGATCTGTCCATATACTAGGAAACAGTCTTGAGGAATTGATACTTCTACGGTTACTATCATGCGTTTCAAAAGTATAGACCTCGAGACTTTTTCGAATAATTCAAATTTGGTTTGAACTTTCTGCGAAATTTCTTCGGAATATTGCTCAGGCAGCTCACACAATTTTTCTCGTGTAAATTTCCAAGCGATTGGATAACAGACGCCCAATTTCGAAATTTTATGCACAAAGTGATCACAGATTTGATGTGGTATAGATGCTGGCCTAACGGTTTTTTGAAACCAGAGGTCTGGACTTTTCAAACACACTATAGTGAGCGTTCAGAGTGAGTGAGAGTCGTAACCTTTGGTACACGTAAACCTGTCAATTTCAGGAAATCGTTATCTTGCGGCTCGTTAGAACAATGGCTTTTACAGTGTTAGTTCGCTATCATTCAGAGGCGTGAGGTCTTCTTTGATGTTGGCGACCCATCTCTTGTGGGGTCGTCCATGGGGGCGCTTGCTGTCCTCTGAATGTGCCCTATCAGGAATGTCTCGACCTCGCCACCAACAACCAACTCTGGTTAACGATCATTGAGAGATGCATGACCCCCGTAAGATTTGTTTATGCGGGCAATATGCGACCTGTTCATATTATTATTATTATTATTATTATTATTTGAAAGTAGGACGGAGGCAGAAAATATTACAAAAAATGTATTATCTACGCATGCATCTACGCAAGAGTCACCCCCAGCCAATTAGGACATGTGTCGAAGTATTGAACGTTTTCGTTCCCTTCTTGTCAAAATACTACAGGGAATGATGGAAATAAGCTAAAAGACTACAACTATAAGGCAAAGAAGTTCAGAAATATATCACTCCAATTATGTGTAGAAGTGACACGAAAAAATAGATGTGAAGAATCAAGAAAACAGCATGCAAATCCAATAAGTGACAAAAACGTAGTGACAAGAAAAAGAGAGAAATATCAAGAGATCTATTTCGCACCTTCACGACGAACAGTGCCAAACAACTGCAAAGACAACACATTCTCCTTCTGAACACAAAGCTCAGGGTCTAACTTACGTATGTACAAAGCTTCCAACACGGCAAGATGTAACAAAGACCTACCACGCGACAAAACAGAGAATACATCATCGGAATACCACTCACGACAACTAGCACTGCCCGACAGGTGGCACTTGATTGCCGAGGTACCGTTTCCCTGACCCGACGACTTGGCCGTTGTCACCTCCGATCTTTGTTACATCTTGCCGTGTTGGAAGCTTTGTACATACGTAAGTTAGACCCTGAGCTTTGTGTTCAGAAGGAGAATGTGTTGTCTTTGCAGTTGTTTGGCACTGTTAGTCGTGAAGGTGCGAAATAGATCTCTTGATATTTCTCTCTTTTTCTTGTCACTACGTTTTTGTCACTTATTGGATTTGCATGCTGTTTTCTTGATTCTTCACATCTATTTTTTCGTGTCACTTCTACACATAATTGGAGTGATATATTTCTGAACTTCTTTGCCTTATAGTTGTAGTCTTTTAGCTTATTTCCATCATTCCCTGTAGTATTTTGACAAGAAAGGAACGAAAACGTTCAATACTTCGACACATGTCCTAATTGGCTGGGGGTGACTCTTGCGTAGATGCATGCGTAGATAATACATTTTTGTATTATTATTATTATACGCTCTCATTACCTGTAAATCAGAGATGGTGAACTTCTCTTCAAAGATGTAGGCAGCGTCCGCCCCACCCGCCAGTCCGCCCATCGTTGCCAGGAAACCGCAGTGGCCTCCCATCGTCTCGATCACAAACACTCGCTTTCGACTGGCAACGGCCGACTGCTTCAGACGATCGGTGGTCTGCACATAACGGCAAGAGAAGTGTCGGCCTAAACAACTACAATGTACATACATGTACATAACGCGAACGATGGGTGTAATAGGGTATTCACACGACGTGAAAATGAACGAAAACACGTTTGTATAAAAGTGGACAAGCTGCCCATCGGATTCACACGGACAACAGACCCGTGCAAATCTCGCATGCGTCTGTGTACTCATGTACCTTGAGTACCATACTCAAGTACTCTCGCTGTTTTTACACGCGCGTAAAGCACAAACGTGGGCCTAGGACCCTCGATCAAGTTTATCAAGATGTTGCACGCGCTATGGTCACACGAGTAAAAAGAGTACCACACACGTGAGTTTGCGCGTCGTGTGAATCCCCTATAACAATTTAAAATTTGAACATAAGAACTTTTTGCAGCATTCCCGTCAGAGTCGGTGAGACTGACTTTTGCACATCTCCAGAAACTCCACCAGCCAACCACATATGTACGTGTCAGGGGTTCTAGCCAGGGGGGGGGGGGGGGGGGGTGCAGCGCCCTCTTACCTGATTGAGCGCCCCCTGTGTAAAAGCGGCGTCCCCTACTAATTTGTCGATTTCGGTGTTTTGCCGTGCCATTCAACGAAAATGCAGTCGACAGTCACTACTAGAGGGTTCATAAAGGCAGATTTTTCTGGGGTGAAGTCGGGGGTTTGCCCCGTACGTAGCATTTTTGCATGGCAAGAGAATTTTTGGAAAATAGAAAACTGGGTTATGGGTTAAGGGGTTATGGGGTAACAGTCCCCCCCCCCCCCCCTGGGTTATGGGGTAACAGAACCCCCCCCCCCCCCCCCCCTGGGTTATGGGTTAAGGCAAGAGTGCATAAACAAGAGTATGCAACTGTGGTTATGGGTCGGTGCGCGGCGTGCTGCCTTCATTACGTAATTTGCCTCCATCACGCTCTGAAAGCATGCACTCAAACCTACAATTTCTCGTGCAAGCCCAACCGTTTTTGCTTGATCCGTTCCAGTACCTACGCGATCTCAAAATTTTGGCGCATGAACTCCAGTTCCGTACGAAAGTTCAATTCAAACCAGAGGGAAAGTGCGGTGCTTGATTTTCCGCAGTGCACGGACTGCAGCTGAATGATGTAATGAAGGCAGCACGCCGCGCATCTGGCTCATAGAAAAGAGATCACAGTTGCATACTCTTGTTTATGGACTCTTGGTTAAGGGGTTATGGGGTAACAGTCCCCCCCCCCCCCCCCCCTGATTATTTTGAGCTGGCTAGTCGAGCTGCCGTTGTCTTGAGAAAGTGCTCAACCCTCGAAGAGCAGCCTGCGGCACAGGTTCACAATAACCGGCAACTTCAATCTTCAATACTTCAAGCTATCTGTAACATGAGATCGCAATAATCCAGGGGATCACAGTGCAAAAAAACCTCAGTCAAAATCCTCATCCCACAAAGAGTTCTGGACTTTTGAATAATCGTACCTACAGCTCTACGAATATATACAGTACACCCAACTTTCGACTACAGCACATTTTTCACCGCATTGCGAACAACAACACGAGCCCCCCTTTTCTGAACTGTGCTACAACAGAGTTGGAGAGCTCACCTCAATAATAATGTTGAGAGCAGTATCACATCCCATGCTATGATCGGTGCCTGGTACATTATTACTGATGGTAGCGGCGACATTCAACATGGGAATGCAGAATGCCGGGTAGTCCTTGCGAGCATCCTCCAGAATACACAGGCTGTGGAACGCCTGCATATGTGTGTGCGGGTATGTGTGTGTGCGTGTGTGTGCGTGTGTATGTGTGTGTGCGTGTGTGTGTGTGTGCATGTGTGTGTGTGTGTGTGTGTATGTGTATGTGTGTGTGTGTGTGCGTGTGCGTGTGCGTGTGTCCACGCGTGCATGATATAGAGTAGACAGACAGGCAGGCAGACAGACAAAGACACAGAGAGAAAGAGAGAGAGAGAGAGAGAGAGAGAGAGAGTGAGTGAGAGAGAGAGGGAGTGAGAGAGAGAGTGAGAGCGAGAGAGAGAGCGAGAGAGCGAGAGAGAGCGAGAGACAGAGAGACGGAGAAGAACAAAAATCAGTAAAGCAAGTTCGAAAAAGCAATATACAAAAGCTCAGAATATGCGGCAATCGGAAGAAAACACTAAAGCTGAACAAACTGGCCACAAGATTCAAAGCACAGCTCTTCCAAACAGTGGAGAATCGCAACTCACCTCAAAGCCTCCAATAACTAGCAAGCCATTGATGCGATGCTTCTTCAGTTGCTCAGCAATAAGTGGCAAACCCTCCTTGGACGGCAGTGACCTAAGATGATGAGGAGGAGGAGAGAAAGAGGGAGACAGAATGATAGGTAGGTACTGTAAAAGCCATATATATATAACGAAGTGCTAACTCTAACGAGTTAACAAGGAGAAATCTGTCGTTAAAATAGAAATCGTTATACAGAAATCGAGACATATACTGTCCTATTGAGCGTTGAGAATAAGTGAGAATCGTTACCTTTGGTACACGTAAAGCAGTCAATTTTGTTAAAAAAAGGAAAGTTTGCACGTCCGCGTTACCACCGGCTATACAATTGCGTTGAGAAACACAACCAGCTTAGGAAGTTTCGCATGTGCCAATTTTGTTAAATCGTTATATATGCGCCCCGCTAGAATAATGGCTTTTACAGTAGAGAGTGAGAGTGAGAGTGTGTGTGTGTGTGAGAGAGAGAGAGAGAGAGAGAGAGAGAGAGAGAGAGAGAGAGAGAGAGAGAGAGAGAGAGAGAGAGAGGGCTCTTTAGATGAATGACAAGTCACATATGATCGGTGCAAGGCCATGCACGAATCTTCCAGTAAATGGTGTTCTCAATCCCTTCATCATTGCCCTTCTGCAGAAGGCAGCCCAAGGCAGCCCTACCAGTAAGAGCAGGGATCAGAAGTGTGCTATTGGTCAAAGGACTGTTGACTGATATGATCACACATGCAAAAGTGGTCACATGACCAATGACTACTACAGTGGTCCCTCTATAATCCGGCACCATTTGTGCCACGAAAATCTGCTGGATTAGGGAGGGTGCTGGATTAACAAATCTGATTTACTGCTGCAATGTGCATGAAGAGGACATTTTGGCTACTGAAAATTGTGCTGGTTTATCGAGGGTGCTGGATTATAAAGTGCCGGATTAGAGAGGGACGACTGTAATACAGTATTATGATCACACATGCAAAAGTGGTCACATGACCAATGACTACTAATACAGTATTATGATCACACGTATGTAAGGGGGCATGTGACCGATGACTGTAGGCCCAGACATATTCTGCTCTGATCGCCTTGATATTTTCCCACAAAATGTTGCTGCGAAATCTTCGATATTTCGCCGAGCCTGGCACTAGAAACCCGATATTTTGGTCCGTTTTGCTCCTGAAAAGCGTGCATTTTATCCACTTCCCGTACTACGTTTCATAAAAATTGCAGGGTCGGTTTCTCAACAAGGGTTTTCACACACACGTGTCCCTGGGTTGTTCCGGGATCATGTCGATCCACAGTGAATCCCAGTGATATTTCGCTGACATCATCTCGTCCTGGGCAGTGATTCCTGCTGAACGGGTAAGAAACAAGGACATCCAAGTATCAGGCATCGATTTTACCCAACATTTCGATATTGTGCTCCGATTTTAATGGCAATTTCCGCTTTTTCAATTCTTCGATATGTTGCCTAAAGAAGTGCCGTCGGGATCTGTCTGGGCCCATCACCGGTCTCAACACAGGCATGTGCCCTTGGCTCTGTCTGGCCTATCACCGGTCTCAACACAGTCATGTGCCCTTGGGTGACCTACCTGTTAGTTCCTAAATGAGATCCGCCAGCAACACTCCACTTCAGCACTTGCGAACGATCAAGCAGTTGAATCTAACAGGACAGGGAGACGCGGTCCACACGAGAAGAGAGGAAGGCAGGCATTAAGAGCATTCATTCAAGGTGACTATTTCTCCTGTCAGCTGGCCACATGCACATGCCGTAATGTCGCGTATAAAAGCAGTTGCTCACGGCCGTATAAGCCGATGTCAGTGTTAGGCTTCTATTCAAGTCAGGCTTCTATTCAAACCACCTATCTCTATGTATGTCAACACTAAACCAGGCTTATGCACTGACAGCAAATCTTAAAAATCAGGCTTCTATTCAAAACAGGCTTTTATACAAGACAGGGCTTTTATACAAGACACTATAGTGTTCGCACAGAAGGGCCTCCAGGTAGTTTGTCCCTGAGGACCCTGACACACACACACACACACACACACACACACACACACACACACACACACACACACACGCACACGCACACACACACACACACAGATATCCACGCACACACGCGCACACATGCACATACACACACGCGCGCGCACACACACACGCTCACCGATCCCTTTGCCAGCCCGTCGAAGCCCTCGTGCACGGCATAGACCTGGTGGCCATGGTAGGTTGTCAGGCGAAAAAATGCCTGCGTGCACGTGTTGACCCCAGCGGCCGGGGCACCCACGTGCAGCAGAGCAAAACGCAGCTGCACATAGCACAAACACACAGGATCAAACAAGACCAAGTCGAATAACAGCAGTCGTTAGAATTGTACTCCGCTCCACGCGTTTGGGCCGTGTGAAAAAGGTAGCGCCGAAACCATCATGCCGACTACTCGTCACTTGCTCGATACGAGCACTTGAGTATAGCTGCACAATGTGCTCGTCAAGAACTGGGAAGGCTTGCAGCCACCAAGACATCGGTAAAGCAGGAACGCCCGTCCACTCTGGCGTCTGCAAGCTCATTATTCTGAGGTCCTTTGTTGGTGTTTTCTCGAAAAAGGAAAGCAAAGTGGCACTATCTCAATGCAATTGAACACCTGAATATAACCGCCATAGCCGACAACCCGATCGTTTTCAAAACAACTATAGGCACTGTCATTTCTAGGGCTCAAACGGTTAGTCCGATTAACCGGTTGCAGACCGGTTGCGAAGAATTAACGGTCAACCGATAAAGATAACGGTTACGCAGTAACTTTTCAGTCATTTGCCAAGTATCAGGTCGTTGCAAAGTATGCACTTTCGCAGGCTGTCGCACGCGTACACAATTTCTGGGCTGTCAACTCGGTCATATCTGTCTCTTGGTGTGAGAGTATTGTATGAATGAGCATGCAAGAGAATGTACATGTGTGCGTTTTACTGAATATGGTACATTTTTTGAATGAGTATAGTCAAATATACGGTTAAAAAAGAGTCCGCAGGATTGCCATGGCTTATAGGTTATAACCGTTAAACCGACCGTTAGCTTAGCAGTTAACCGTTAGGGGTAAAACCGTGACCGTTTGAGCCCTAATAATTTCACAATGTTTCGGTGAACTTTTATTTCCGGTACTTTCGGTGCATATGTTTCATACCTACAATTTCGATACAATACATCGAACAAACACTAACACACATAATCCAATCTTCACCTAACCTGGCCGTTCGCCCTCACACCGAAAGTATTGAGCACCTAAAATTCCTGAAAATAGAGTACTCCCTAGGCGACGTTGTCCCTTTTGCGTCCGTATGGTCAAAAATCGACAACTAAAGTACCCGTCGATGACTTTAACATACTGCAATGTACTGTAATTTCACAAATTTTCGGTGTACTTTCGGTGCATTTGTTTCATACCTAAAATTTCAATACACCGAACAAACACTAACACACGTAATCCAATAGGGAACTGCTTCTCTGTACCGAAAATTTCTTTTTACCTAACCTGGCCTGTTGCCCTCATACCGAAAATATTGAGCACCGAAAATTTCTGAAATTAGAGTACTCATTTAGTATCAAGTTTGTCCAAATTTTATGCCAAATGAAGCACAAAAGACCTACTTTTAATGTTAAAAAACCCCGGAGGGTCGTATCATGCTCCAAAGAAACGTTATACGCCTCCGAAGCAGGTCTGGTTGTGCATACCTCCAAAAGGATTAGCCATCGCGTTGAAAATTGAATTGAAGATGATTTTCGCTTCTCTTACAAAAATTCAAGACTAGATTCTGGTCCTAGAGTACTCTTCAGAGCTCAAGCTTTTCAACACACCAAAATCTCCTAATTCGCCCAAGAGAAACAGAAGTTATGATCAAAATGGGACACAGTCTGTCCCTCAGACCGTGAATTTGGCGGGTTTGGTGAATGTAAACGGGTTAACAATAATAATAATACAAACAGGTCGCATCTTGCCCGCATGAACGAATCATACGGGCGTCATGCACGCAAACGGGTTAAGTGATCGTTTAAACCCTAGAAAAAGGACCATGGAGATTTCCTGGCTGCCAATGTCCACTTTTGTAGTGGGTTGCAGTGATCGCGTACGGCTTGGTTAATGAGCTGGACTGTCCGACTGGGCACGCGACACTTGGCCGGGTGTTCGCATCACCACCATTACGACATTATCAACGCAGGGGCTGGAATGTGCCCAGCAATATGCAAACTTACCTTCTCCGTCGCCGGGACAACAGGCAACTTGTCATAACGGCTCAAGCGGCGAAATGTTGCCCAGTGTCGTACAAACGAACTGAGCGTGACAACAGAAAAATGCAGACACACACACAGACACACAGGCATGGACACACACACACACAAAAAAAGCACACCCGAACACACACACGGACACACGAACGGACACACACACTTGTACCAAGAGTACATAAACCAGAGTGTGCAACTCGGGATGGTTCCTGTGGGAGCGTAATTCGTGCACTACGTCATTTCTGACGGCATGGTAAGCCACAGGTACGGTGAAAAGTTGCGTAACCAGTCGCGGTGGTGCAGTTCACTGAGTTTGTCCTGATTTCGGTTTTTTGAGACGGATAGCCTGGTGACTTTACTTGTCGGTGGATGTACGCAGCGTACACAGTCACACAAAACACCGAAATCCTGAGACAGGATGTCTAAAATCAAGCAAACTTGGCTGATTTCCGGGCTATGAAACATGAAAATTTGAGCTGTACGCAAGTCGCGGCTTGGCTGATCTCATCAGGGTGACGTAGTGCACGAACTGCGCTGTTTCAGATCTGATATGCACAGTTGCACACTCTGGTTTATGTACTCTTGCTTGTACTTGTTGCTCACTGCCAAAACTGGTCACGTGGGTCTCCCCGGGAGAGGGGAGAGAGACTCAAAAGGAATCTTGGAAAGATGACTCAACTGGCTCTTGAACCGCCCAACGGCCGACACCCCCTGAAATCCCCAAAACTCTGGGTGGACTTGAAAATGACCCCACTTATGGGCTCACCACACACACACACACACACAAACACACACAAACACACGCAAACACACACAAACACGCAGGGCGTGCACAAACACGTGCTCTGTGACACCGGACCCGAAGTGTATATTCGGCGCGCACAACTTGCACGGCCCTGGAAATAGTACCAATGCTGCTTGACGGACACATGTACAAGCATAGCAATGTAAACGGAACTGATCCAGGGTGTCAGTTTTGCACTTCAGGTCGTATTTCAGAGCGCGCAACTGAGAAAAAAAAGTTCACGGTTCGCGCCAGACTCGGCTAGAGGCCGAGTTTCCCGCATCCGTAGGGACGCCACCACCCTTCAAGGATCAAGGCGCAGATGCAGCTCCTAAAGCGGTGGGCAAGTGGTCAAAGACCGAAAATCCCATTCACTGCATCCATGTTTTCCTCGTGCCAGGCCACGAGTTCCCAATTAACTGTGGGTTGCAGCACGGCTGGAAAAACTCCTTCCGCTTCCAAGCAGGACTTGAACCTGGTACCCTCTGTTTCTCAATCATGGTCTTAGACCATCCCACTATGCCTGCGTAACTGAGAAGTTCTTTCAAAATTCCCCGGAGGAACAGACTCACACGCACATGTATGAATATACAGGGTACACAGGAAAGAAAGAAAGAAGACCCAGGGGAGCAATACAGAGCGCCCAGCACGTACCCAGCTCTCATCGACAGAGCTTCCTTGAAGTTACCGTCCTTCATTGCACCCGCTATGCCTTGAGTCTGTGATTACACATAGATATCAACCAACAGATAGACAGACAAGGACACACAGACAAGCAAACACACACGCATGTATGCACACACACACACACACATGCATGCATGCACATACGCACGCACACACACACACACACACACACACACACACACACACACACACACACACACACACACACATGTGTATACACACACATGCGCATACACACACACACACACACACACACACACACACACACACACACACACACACACAGGACTTGGTACCTTCAACCTATGAGAGTGACAATGACAGCAATAGAGACATTATCAGATTACATGATATAGCTTTTTCAAGGTTGTACCAACGGTCGCTTTTTGGGGTCACGTGCGAGAACTCTTTGAATCGCTGGTGAACAGAAGAAGCCCAGTTCACGTTCACTTTGTATGGGAATGGATGCGTGGAGGTGAAAGAAGCAGTAGAATGGTGCTCCACTTGATGTCCGACACTCGTGTTGAGTCAGAGCAGTTGCCAGGAAGCCCTTCCATGGCTTGGGCGAAAAAAACAAGCGTCAGAATCCCTCCAAGCGCTGGTGGAGACGAACCTGTCACATTTCGTATACTTTTCAATGCATTTTGACATGCGACCTGTTCACCACGATCTCGGGGTGATCGCCGGGGCGGTGGTGGGAAAGGCGTCCTTGAAAAATCCCTATACAAACAAGAATTGGATTCCAGATCAATGATACTTGGAGTGAAGTGTTAAAAAAAATATAAAAAAATACCCGCAAACTCCCCAGATCTGCACAGCTTGTGACTGGCAGGTATGCCGATGTCAAAGCGCACGAATGCGTGTGTCCAGGCAGAATCTGATGGTGTGCTGTGGCAACGTGTTGAGATCAGCCGGATGGGCGCAGTTGTGATGTGGTGGTTGATGAGAAAGGCGAGTGAGATTGTCACTAGTACTCTCAAGAAAACACATCTGGCCCAGATGTGGAGCATCGAGATCTGAGGATGAGCTGTCTGTGCACACATAGATGCTTTATGTGAGCAGCTTACCTCGCGCGCGCGCGCGCGCACACACTTCACAGAAACTCTTCAAGTGAGCAGCTTACCTCACGCACACACTTCATTAGCGGTGATTGAACAACACGGTTGCCTTGCAAGCCAACTAACACTGGTTCGTTGTCCTTGTCAGCATCCAGCACAGCATTGGCCGCTGCAGCTCCGACTCGACAACCCTAAGCAGAAACAGCAATAGCAGCAGCAACGACAGCAGAAACAGCAATAGCAGCAGCAACGACAGCAGAAACAGCAACAGCAGCAACGACAGCAGAAACAGCGACAGCAGCAACGACAGCAGAAACAGCAATGACAGCAGCAACAGCAACAGCAGAAACAGCAGCAACGACAGCAGAAACAGCAACAGCAGCAACGACAGCAGAAACAGCAGCAGCAGACATAACAGCAGAAACAACAACAGCAGCAACGACAACAGAAACAACAGCAGCAACAACAACAGCAGCAGCAACAACAACAGCAGCAGCAACAACAACAGCAGCAGACATAACAGCAGAAACAACAACAGCAGCAACAACAACAGCAACAGACATAACAGCAGCAGCAACAACAGCAGCAGCAACAGCAGAAATAACAGCAGCAGCAACAGCAGCAACAGAAACAACAATCATGAAAAGAAGAAGAAGAAGAACAACAACAACAGCAATACCAGCACCAACAGTAGCAGCAGCAAGAGCAAGAGCAACAACAGCAGCAGCAGCAGAAACAACAACGTCAGCGGAGTCGACTTCAGCAACAAAATAAAATGCGTTGTCACTAAGTCCACCCTACCAAGAGAAAAACTTATCCGAAGGTCCAAGTGGGTGCACCTCTACATACATGGGGTGTTCGACGGCAAAAACTCACATCACGTGTTCCAAGTACTTTCGCGCTACATGCAACGTATGGAAGTGTGTTCATAGTCCAGATATCTACCTCTGTGATCATGCTGAGGACTAGCATAACTTCTTTTTTTTCGGTCAGAAAGTCTTGTTTTTACTACTCCATCGCTCGCTGAATACGAGCTGAGAGAGCACAACATGTAGTGTAAGACCAGTAATGTTAACGGACATTTATTTCTGACGAATTAACGAATTTAAACAATTCGTTAACATTTGAAGTCGTTATGTACGAAACGATACGTGCATGTACAGTCACTTGCCAGTTTTGAAACAGAATTCGTTAGAATTTCACCTCGCAAACCCACAAAAACCCGGAGACCGTTAACTTTATTTGACGTTAAAATATCTGGTCTTACAGTACTGTAAAAGCAGAAATTTTCGGTGGTGTAATATTTTCGGTATTCTCCAAAATCGGCGGTTCGGGGGAGGGAAATTTTTCGGTAAAACCCGTTGTCCAGGTAAGTGTACTAGTACTACATGTATACAGTATCGGTTGTACCGAAATTTTCGGTGCGTTTTATTTTCGGTAAAAATTGTCGCCACCGAAGTTACCGAAAATAAAACACCACCGAAAATGTCTGCTTTTACAGTACACTAGATGGGGCCCCATACAGTATTCCATACAGTAATGCTGGTGTTTGTTCAGCGAATATCACACCCACCCACCATGAGACGATCGTAAGCCGACGGTGCACCACCACGCTGCACATGGCCCAGCACGGTGATACGAGTGTCATAGCCGAGCTCTTTCTCAATAACCTGAACAGACAGGAAGACACAGACAGACATACACACACACACGCACACATGTGGACAGACAGACGTGCAGGTGAACAGACAGACAGACACACACACACACATGCACACAGGTGGACAGGCAGACATGCAGGTACAGGCAGACACACAATTGGGCAAAAAGAAAGATTAACTTAAAAAACATATGTGCACAACAGCTGACCACAAGAGTGGCAAACGCAGTGCGTGACGTGAATTGCATTTCCTCTAACAGTTACACATAGAGATGACTGGGAAGGCATAAGCCAGTGTGAGGCTGCTAGTGAGTCAACGATGGACAATGCCACTGCTACTGAAGAGTACTAGCGCATACCGACTTGACGTATTGCGATGAGATTGGCTGGCCTTGCCGATCGACAGCACCTTCAGCAACTATGATGAGATTCATGCGAGCACCTTCTTCTCGACTCTGTGCAACAACAATCAGCATGGGGATGGAGAACCCACACGGACACACATACACAGAGACACGCACGCACAAACAGATGCAGACACACACGCACGCACGCACGCACGCACACACACACACACACACACTACTACTACTACTACTACTACTACTATGTACAGCTACCCTATCGGGCCACACCGCTCCCAGAAGCGGGAGACAACGACAAGAAGAGAGAAGAGAAGAGAGAGAAATCGCAGTCAAGAATATTTGGCATGGCGTTGCAAGCACACACACACACACACACACACACACACACACAACGAGAGCACTCAGTCAGTGCAGTCTTCAAACAGTACAGAACTATTGTGGGTGTACAACGATCAGGCGGAGTGCAGAACCTTAGGAAAGCACTTGCAAAGCACCCCAAGCTACACCAAACTACACCGAGCTACACCGAGCAACACGGAGGTGTAGCGAGCTACACCGAGCTACACCGAGCTACACCAAGCTACACCAAGCTACACCGAGCTACACCGAGCTACAGCTACACCAAGCTACACCGAGATACAACTGTGTTCGGTATTAGGCCGTACACTGCCTGGCCAAAGCCGGTGGTAACACTCACCCTACACAGCTGCTCACACATCTTCTTTTCCCAGTTGTCTGAAGGCGGAGACTCCGGTATTAGACACTTCAAGAGCAAACACAGATGCGCGCGAGCACACACATACACACACACACACACACACACACACACACATACACACACACACACACACACACACACACACACACACACACACACACACAGAAACACAAACAGGATTGAGTGAAAGACAGGCTCTACGGCTGGGCTTCGTTTTCTAGCAATTTACACAGCATCTGCAGAGAAGAAAAGAGCAGAGCAGAGAGCAGAGCAGAGAGAGAGAGAGAGCAGAGAGAGAGAGAGAGAGCAGAGAGAGAGAGAGAGAGAGAGAGAGAGAGAGAGAGAGAGAGAGAGAGAGAGAGAGAGAGAGAGAGAGAGAGAGAGAGAGAGAGAGAGAGAGAGAGAGAGAGAGAGAGAGAGAGAGAGAGAGAGAGAGAGAGAGAGAGAGAGAGAGAGAGAGAGAGAGAGAGAGAGAGAGAGAGAGAGAGAGAGAGAGAGAGAGAGAGAGAGAGAGAGAGAGAGAGAGAGAGAGAGAGAGAGAGAGAGAGAGAGAGAGAGAGAGAGAGAGAGAGAGAGAGAGAGAGAGAGAGAGAGAGAGAGAGAGAGAGAGAGAGAGAGAGAGAGAGAGAGAGAGAGATGTATAAAGACAGACCGCACAACAGTGGATACAAAAGTTGAGGATTTCAATGCCAACAAGCCCGTGCCATAGGCTGATGTCTAGTACCATCGGCAGTGGGGAGTATAATGCTGAATTACTGGTGAGAGAAGGCACGCACATACCCAATCGGCGTTGCAACCTAGAGAGCTGACCAGAGCCAAGTACCTAAGCAATGCAAAATACATCCACGCCAACCCAAACAAGCATGCAAGCGGACACACGCACACACGCGTGCGCACACACGCGTGCGCACACACACAGACACACACACGCACACACATGCACCCACCCACACACGCACACATGCACCCACCCACACACGCACACATGCACCCACCCACACACGCACCCACCCACACACACACCCACCCACACACGCACGCATGCACCCAGCCACACACAGAATCCAGTCACTAGAGAGGTTCTGCACAACGAAAGTTCGAACGAAGTTTCGCGACAGGCCTTGCGAAAGTGTGTACGAATTTTCGCACGAACTTTGTGTTCTGCACATTTTCGTAGTTTGCACGCGCCAAGTGCACGTACGACATGACCCAATCTCACGAAACTTCCTACGAAAGTTCATTTCGCGTTCCCTGCAAGTTTCGCGTCCAAAGTTGCGAAAGTTCGTGCGAAGTTTCTCACTTCGTGACGTAGAGCGAAAGTTCGTACACATTTTCGTTTTGCAGAACCTCTCTAATGGGTCTACTCGGGACACAGAACGGAGACTGAAAACTAGTGTTGAAACGAATAATCGAATAATCGAATAATTTAGAATATTCGTGGGGTGAACGAATAATCGAATAGTCGTAGGAATTATCAGAAATCGAAAAAAAAAAAAAAAAAAAAAAAAAAAAAAAAAAAAAAAAGATCTATGCTCACTGATATTTGCACTGCGTAGATCTGCTCGTAGTATTTCTTCTCAATCTCTTCTCCTCCAAGTTTTAATCTCCTATCGGTATCTAGTAATACTTCTGTTCTTTCCATACGAGGGAAACATGGATGCAGTGAATGTGATTTTCGGTCTTTGACCACTTTCGACCAAGACCCTATGCAGAGCTGTAGGTGTTGCACACTCTGGGGGGGGGTTATGTGTTCTTGGCGGTACAGGTTAACCGGTTTTGCACCTCCACATAACAAAATCCGATAATCAGCAAAAAAATTCAAAAAAAACTACTTAAAAAGTGCTGAAAAAGTGTTGAAAAATGCCATCATGTGTATGATAGAATATAGATTATTCGTTCGATGGAGGGCGAAATTATTCGATAGATTATTCGTTCGAAGAATCCGTGTTCGGTTTAAACACTACTGAGTGAAAACGAACGCGATTGATCAGACTAGGGAACACCCTGAACTGCACCTCAACCCCCGCCAACTCAAGCACTCGCTGGATGTGAAGAATAATGGGTTACGAAGGGGCCGAGCTTGTTCATGCCTACTGGCTAAGACGTACTAAGTACAGTCAACTTCACTAACAACGACTGCGGATACAACGACAATTCGTGAATAACGACAGAATGTCCATGCCCAAGTCCCATCTAACTGTAATAGATATGATAAGACTTCGGGTATAAGGACACTTCGCGAACAAGGACACTTTTCTGATGCCCCGCCGAGTGTCGTTATACGCAAAGTTGACTGTCGGTGAGGACAAACGAACAAGGATACCCACACCCGCATACACGCACGCATTGATCCCCCCCCCCCCCCCCCCCTCCCGCACACACACACACACAGACAGACATGACAGACAGACACACACACATACACACATTCAGCACGGTAGCTTTGCACCTTACCCGCAATGACGGCCCATCACCTCGAGTACAAAACAACGCTGATGACTGTAACGACAGACGGAAGGACAGACGGAAGGACAAATATTGTCAGCATTAAGTCTTGTTCTAGCTCTGTGTTTCGACAATCGTATCATATTGCAGGAGACAAGGAGCACTTATAGATATTTATTGAGAAACGAAAACTAGTGGTTTAGGGAGGGAGGGGGTTGAGCGCCTGTTCGTTTCTTGAAAATTATCGATGTACTATTGATACTACCCTATACCTACTGGTAGACATACCGACACAGACCAAAGACACACGTACACACACACACACACACACACACGCAGAGAGACAGACAGAAAGACACATAACAACATACATGCACGCACAATGTCATATGTTCATCAACAGTCACATGCACACACGTACACTTGTACTTTGCCACTGCCAGAAACCCGCTGCGTAAGATTCACCAGAAGACAGAAGAATGGTCATAGATTCAAAGGGACACACCTCACACCTCAGACCTCAGACATGCCCATCGCGGAAGCGATGATAGCGAACAGCTATGCTATACATACTGTATGAGCAAAATTTTTCGTCGGTCAATAATTTCGTCCAACTCCAAAGAAAGGGAGTTCGTCCGGTTGTAAATTTCGTCCATGGATCATAAGAGTGTATTGAAAAGCTGGACAAATCAATATTAGTCCGGCATTTATTTTAGCCCAACAGCTCGTTGGACGAAAAAGACGAAATTAAATTCCAGACGAATATTTCTGCTTGTACAGTAGCAACTTGTGCTGGGATTACACCATTCAACAGCTTGCAAGGCTGGTGAATTGACCGCAAAGGACACACACACACACACACACACACACACACACACACACACACACACACACACACACACACACACACACACTCCCAGACACACCAAACACACCTGGACGCGGTGAAAGAGATTGCATCAACAGCCTCCACGATACGATGCAAAGCGGAATCTGCTCCGAGTGTCATGTCGGTACCACACATGTCATTGTCAATAGAACCCACCTGTATGCACAAACAGACACACACACACACACACACACACGCATGCACACACACACACACACACGCGCGTGCACACACACACACACACACACACATGCACACGCATGCACGCACGCACACACCCACACCCACACACACACACCCACACACACACACACACAAAACACACACACACACAAAGCGCACACACACACACACACAAAGCGCACACACCCATGCACACACAATTAGGAAGGGCAAGATAGTCATACTGCGAGGCAGCACCAAACAACATTTGACAGAAAATACGGACACATAGGAACATCAATGACATGATTGCAATGTGCAGGATCCAGTGTCGGCATACTGTGATTTCAAAAACTTTCGCTGTACAGTGTTCTTTTCTTTTCGGTACTTTCGATGCATCTGTTTCATATCTAAAATTTCGATACGCTGAACAAACACTAACACACATAATCCAATAGGGAACTGCTTCTGCTTGTACCTAATGTTTCTGTTCACCTACACTGGCCTTTTGCCCTCATACCGAAAATATTGAGCACCTGAAATTCCTGAAACGAGTAGTACTCTTACCATCCCGACGATATTCAAGTGATCGCATTCCGTCTGCTCTTGAGCACTGATGTTACCTGAAGAATGCGTGTCCACAGCAAACATGCAACCATTACACTCGCACACATCCGTTTTCCACAAAACATCCGGATAGGCGAGGGAACGGGACAATCGAACACACATACTGTATGACTGCACGCGTGGCATATGCTGTAAATCGGTAACCAACGGTTTTCTTCCGGATGGCGAGGGATCCGGATAAAAGAGGACCGGATAAACGAGGTCTGACTGTACCCTACAATGCAATACACATGCACGTCTCAGACCAGTACAGTCAACTTTGCAAATAGCGGCTTCTGCTGCAGTGCAATCACCATACCATTACGCCACTCAGACCTCTACATTCAACTTTGCGAAGAGAGGTTACCTGTTGGAGTGCACACTTCGCAAACAATCGCCGGAAATCAGATTTTGTCAAGGCACTGTGTGTGAAGATCTAGCACAGTCTTGTGACTAGCTGAAGTGTGCACAGGACTAAGGGGCGTTCGTTTTTGATCTACGGGTTTGGGTAGAAACTACTTGTTTCGGTAGATGCGTTCCTATCTTTCTACTCAAAACAGTAGATTCTACCTTTCTCTACCAAGTTTGAAGCTGGTGGAGGTCGGTAGAAGTTGGTAGAGGTACGGGATTTCCAGCAAGATCTAGGAGTAGCACACGACTCCATGCAGAAGAGACACATTTCACGTACATATCGCCAAAATAACCTAAAAAATCTGGTAGAACAGCGTTCGTGCACTAACCCCTACCATCTACCTCTATTGGTAGAGTGACTCTACTCTACTCTACCAGGTAGCCGAAAACAAATGCAGCCATCGTCTTTTTTTCCTTGTACACTGTGAGACCATCCAGCCAGGACACTGCCACTCTACTGTGTACTGAGGGGTTCTATCAAGGGGTCTGCTCCACGCGCAAAATGACAAAAAAAAATTAAATCCTGATCAGAGTTCGGATTTCTATTTAGAGCAAAAGATCTCGCTACAGTCCATTTCAAAACTATAGACGCGTAGGGTTTTTGAAATATTTCAAATTTGGCTGGAGCTTTTTGAGAATAGGTTTCGGAATATTGCTCAGGACCGCTCCACAATTACTCTCATGTAGTTTCTAAACGATTGGATAACAGACACCCAATTTAGACAAATTTATGCACAAAGTGATCACAGATTTTATGTGGTATAGATGCTGGCATAACGGTTTTCGCCTAGGTACGCGTCTATAGTTTTGAAATGGACTGTAGTGAAAGTGAGTGAGCCGACTGGTGTGCGTAGTGTATCCTAGGGTTGTATGTGTGCTGGGCGGTGGACGCTACCATAAAAGGCCGTAACTGTGTACCTGCCCGAAAGA